TTCTCCTGCAAGTGTCGCATTGAAATGACCAGAAAATATGCCATCGCTTCATTGCTGAATCAAAAGTCTGAAACTGTCACTTCTGACAGCATTTTGGGATCGCCTTCACCAGATGGACCATGTTCATTCACCACCAACTTCTCAGGGGCAGTTGGAGAGGAACAGTAAATATTGACCATGCAAGTGATACCACTCCTTATGACTTCCCCTGTTTTTAAGGTGGTAATGTCCTTCAATCTGTGTTTGAGGAATCTCTTAGCTTGTCATAAGTGACACATGCCCTCAAGTTCAGGAACCTTCAGGTCAATGAAAAGACAGGGGAGATGGTTTCCTGCATCTTATCACATTGCATCCGAGAGCTCCTACAGCCTAATGGTACTACATATGGGTTCTAGCTGTTTTCCAGCACATTAACTTTAAATTAGAATATTGTCTTTCTATTTTCTTCAACTTTGGGATTCATTCTCTGCAAATGGTGCCTAAAATAGAATGAAATAAGTATAGCATATTTTATCAGCTAACAAATTTGGAGGTTGCTATTTTTTGATTATTCTTTCCCATTTTTCTTCTCATAGCAGCTGAAATCGAACACATCAATAATATGTTCCATGAGAAACAACGTGAGTTGCAGTCGGCTGTATTGAAAGTTGATCAGTTAACGCAGCAACTTGACGATTTGAGGAAAGGAAAAACAAATGGTTTGCAGTCTTATAATGGACAAGTGCCAGGACCTGCTGCAGTTGAATTAAAGAAGCTTTACCAAGAGCTGCAGGTAAAGCATGTGACGTGAACTGTAGGTGTGTTACCCATTTTTATCATGTATCTAGAACGAAAGAAAAAAAATTTGGTTCCTATAAAGGGGATCATAAATCTTGACACAAGTCTTCTTTGTCGTGGCACAGTTGAATTCTAGAAGTATAAATCTGCATTTAACTTGACGTTTATGAAGATGGTGATCTTCATTTGATTGAAGATGTTCTTTATAGAAGCGTAAGATTGTCAGATTTTTTAATAATGCTGTTTCATTGTACTTCCATGTACTTATTTTGTACAATGGTTAAGAAGGCAAACAAACGAAATCAGACTATCAAGTGGCTGATTCACTTAAGCCAGGCACTAGGCAGACCAATTGCTTCAAAAAAATTCATTCTGGCAACCAGCCTCACCAATCTGGCAGCATCAATTTGGGATTGGCACTGGCTGCACAACACCAACGTGCTGGGAGCCAGCACCATTAGCATAGGTCTCACACAACAGAAAAGCAGCAATAGAGAAGTTTGACACTCCCTAATTTTCCCTGGCCGGCTAAAGAAACTTGAGAGCTTGAGGAAGAGTAGATAAACAGATTATGATATCTAACATTTTCACACTATGGATTTACTGTCCTTTTTAGATTCGCAACAAGCTTAATCAAGAACAAAATACAAAACTTCAACATCAAAAGGAACTGCTTAACAAGCGTAATGTGGAAGTGACTATGATGGACAAAAGAATCAGTGAACTTCGTGAACGTTTGTGGAAGAAGAAATCTGATGCACGTCAAAAGGAAAACATCCCTGTATGATGTCGATTTCTGTATTTATATCTTAAGATTTTGTTTGTAATTAAACAAATGCGCAGTTCTGTAATGAAAGGCTTGAGTTCTGAACTGCTTTGATTTGTGTTTACAATTCCCTTGCAAGCAGATTTTTTTTAAACATGTAGTATGGACTCTTGTTTGCTAAGCTTTTACTAATTTTTGTCTTGTTAATAAGTAAACGATGATACTGTGCCATTTGTTGCATTTTCTGTTTTCCTGAGTTATTGAGCAACAGTTGTGATAAAGTGACTGTGTAATGACCTTCATTAACGTCCATATAATTAGAAGTTATTTATCTGTTGTCCATTATTAGCTTCATAGTTTCAAAACCTCACACCACTTGTGCGTCCAGAGGACTAAAAACACAAGCCACTCGGTTTTCTATTTTGTTAAGTTGCCTGTGCTAATTGGGTGACATATATTCATTAGTCATTTTCAAGCCAATCAAAAGGTGGGAAAATCAGCAAGCAGCAACTACAAAACCAACCAAAACCACTTGTTTTTTTCCCCCAAACCTGCATTATTTACAAATTAGCAACTGCATAATACCAAGCAATCAGATTACTCAATATTTATTTGCAACTATCTTGTGAAATTGTATTGTGTTTTCAATTAACTGTAACATAATATAATTAATGTAGGGATAAAAGTGTGGAGCTGGAGGAACACAGCAGGCCAGACAGCATCAGAGGCGCAGGAAAGTTGACGTTTCGGGTCAGGACCCTTCTTCAGAAATGTCTGGCCTGCTGTGTTCCTCCAGCTATACACTGCGTTATCTCTGACTCTAGCATCTGCAGTTCTTACTATCTCTGAGATAATTAATGCAGGATATGTTTCCTTGCTGTATGCCTCTATGACTCTATATTCGCAATCTAAAATACTGGAATTTACAGCAGAAACATAAGAATGCTGAGTACATGTAGACAGTGGGAAAATTCCTGGTTTGGCTGCATAGGTCACTGTTCTTTCTGACTGCTGCTGCTGCCATTAGTGTCTACTAGCCAGCAGTCAATCTTTGGCATGCTACTTCCTTTCTCTGCGCCCTAACCTCTGAAGTTGTTTTCAACTTGAGTCCTATTGGACACGCAAAAGTCCCAGTTCCCCAATACCTCCCTTCTAGCCTACTACAGTGGCATAATCCTCCAACTCAATGTAATAGGAGATTAGCTTGGTTATCCTGATTATAATTGTTAATTTTGTCAAGATAAAATTATAAAATGCAAATTTATTGTGGTGAAACAGTTGACCTTTCCTTCAAATTTGATACTGATGTTTTTTTTAAACAAACCTGTTTTTTCCTCTAGCAGCTGAATCGAATTAATGGCACGCCAACAACGCCAGCGCACTCTAACACCTCTGGTCGTGTGGCTGCCGTGGGACCCTACATCCAAGTTTCTACTGCAACTAGATCAGAAAGTAACCAGTCATCACCAAGCGAGATCTTGAAACCTCAGTCACTGACCATATCTAGCAACGGTGGCTATGTGATGACTAAAGCAAAATCTGGTAAGCAGTGGAGTAAGTTGCTTTTTCTACAAGAAGAGCTATGGTCCTGTTCTGAGAGGGAGTAATATGAATAACAAAGAGTGAAAGCCTTGGAGGTAGACTTAACCCACAAATCAGTATCATAGTGGTAATGTCTGTCTATGAGTAATTCAGAGCTTGAGGCTAATGATCTAGGGATTTGGGTTTCACTCTCAACATAATAGGCGGTAAAATTTGAATTGAATACAGTCTAGAATTAGATGCTAGTCTAATGTTGATCACGTAACCATTGTCAATTGTCATTTTTTAAAAATCACTAATATCCCTGAGAGAAGGGCATCTGTCTTTGCCTGGTCTAGCCTACGTATGACTCCACATCCACAGGAATATGGTTGACTTTTAACTGCCCTCTGAAATGGTCTAGAGAGTAATAGATTCAAAGGCAATAAGGGGTGAGCAAAATGTCAGTCTTGCTAGAAATGCCTAAATCCCATACAAGGGTAAAGAAAAATGTCATGATTGAACCAATTGTATATGCGTTCCATGGCAAAACAATGTCGATTCCAAATAGATGTAAAATAAGAACTTTTGTCTGTATCTTTGCCAATTAAAGCAATATTTACTTGTATGCCACTCCTCCTTCCATTCCCAAGGAAATATAGAATATTCTGTTCGCAACTATTCACAACTTTTTGTATGAGTGAGTCTGTAAATAAGCAACCTATTCCTTGGTTTCTGAGTTCTAATTTTGGATAGCAAAAGGTGTGAATCAAGTTATTTTCTTTTCTTTCTATGATTATGTTATAATTTCCCTGTTCTCTCATTTTATACTTCAATCCCCTTAGAGTTCAAAAATCTAGCATTCTCGAGCTTGGATATATTCAGACAATTTATGGCAATTTGAGAAGCAGTTGGTTGAGGTGTAGAATTTTTTCCAACAGTCACATTCATGCTGGCAGAATGGTGCCCCTCAAGTTGCGTACAATCAATTGCCTTTCTAATGGAGAGACGCCTTTCTCGACAATGACTAATTACTTTTGTATATTGTAAAGATGAGTCACTTAGACTGAGGTGTTGCAGCAGAAAGATGTATTTGTAGCAGATCAAGTTTAAATTAGCTATTTACATTTTAAATTTAGATATAGGAATCTATAATGCAGAATGATGGGCAAAAAAAGTAACATTTTATTTTCAGGTGGTATCTGCAGACAAAATAGTTCACTTTTAGTTTGGAGTTTTTTGTGCTGTGTTTAGAGCTATGAAAGCCACAAATGTGTTAGACATTCAGCACAGAAATTAAACATTCTGTTGTTGGAATTTTACAATATTATGCATTGTAAGAAAATCCCTAACTTTAGCTATTTAATAAAGAAACATTGAGTTCATGTTCCTGAATGAGAATGAAGAATACTTGAAATACTCAGCAGGCCGGGCAGCATCTGTTAACAAACATAAACAGTAATTGCTGGAGAAACTCAACAGTCTAGCAGCAGCATTGGGGAGAAAACAGAGTTCACGTGAATAGTTGTGGTACCAGCACTGACTTCTGCGGAATTCCACTAGTCACCGGCTGCTATTCTGAAAAAGACCCCCTTATCCCCACTCTCTGCCTTTTGCCAGTACCTAGTCCTCTGTCTATGTCAGTACCTTGTCCCTAACACTATGGACTCATTTAGCAGCCTTATCTAAGGCCTTCAGGAAATCCAGACAGATCACATCTACTTGCTCTCCTTTGTCTACCTTGCCCATTAAAAGAATTCTAACAAATTTGTTAGCGGCTGCTTCCCATTAACAAAACCATGCTGACTCCACCCTATTTTACCAAGATTTTCCAAGTACTCTACAATGTCATCTTTAATAATGGGCTCTAAAATCTTAGCAATGACCAAGGTCGGGCTAATCGGCCTATAATTTCCCATCTGCTTCATTCCCTTCTTAAATAGGGAATGTGCATTTTCTACCACTCTGAGTCCCTTCTTGGCTCCAGTGATTCCTGAAAGATCACAGCCAATGCCTCCATAATCTCTTTAGCTGTCTCCTTCAGAGCTCTGATGTATGGTCCATCCAATCTGAGTGATTTATCCATCTTCAGACCTTTCAGCTTCCCCAGCACCTTCTCCTTTGTGATGGCCACTATATTCATCTCTGCCCCCAACACTCTCGAAGTTCTGGTATGCTGCTGGTGTCTTCCACTGTGAAGACTGATGCCAAGTACCTATTCAGTTCCTGTATCTTTTCTTAGCTCTCCATTACTACTCCTCCAGCCTCATTTTTCAGTGGTCTGATATTCACTCTTGCCTTTCTTACCTTTAAGAAACCTAAAAAAAACCTCTTGCAGTCTTCGTTTATATTACTAGCTAGCTTGCCCTTATATTTCATCTTCTCCCCACATTATTATTTTAGTTGTCCTCTGCTGATTTTTCAAGGCTTCCCACTAATTTTCACCACATCATATGCTTTTATGCTTTTGCTTTTATGCTGTCCCTGACTTCCCTTGCCATGGTTGCCTCATGCTCCTCTTAGTGTGTTTCTTCTTCCTTGGGATGAATTTCTGCTGTGCCTCCTGAATTACCCCTAGAAACTCCTACCATTGCTGCTGCACTGGCTCCCTTCTAATCAACTGTGGCCAGCTCCTCCCTCATGTCTTTGTAAGTAACCTTTTCTTTAATTCATTTATGGGATTAGGGCATTGCTGGTTAACCCAGAAGGCAATTAAGAGTCAGCTGTGGGTCTAGAGTCACATGTAGGCCAGATTAAGTAAGGATGGCAGTTTCCTTCCCAAAAGGACATTAGTGAACCAGATATTTTTTCCCATCGCCTCCCCTGACTCAATTGTAATACTGTTACATTTGATTCCAGATTGTCCCCCTCAAGCTGCAGGGTGAATTATATCATATTGTGGTTACTGGTCCCTTGGGGTTCCTTCGCCTTAAGCTGACTCAAATCTGACTCATTACTCATCACCAAGTCCAGAATTGCCTATTCCTTAGTGAGCTCTGCCACAAGCTGTTCCAAAAACCATCTTGTAGACATTCCGTGAATACCTTTTCTTGGGATCTACTACCGACCTGATTTTCCTAGTCCACCTTCATGTTGAAGACCCCATGATTATTGTAATAGCACCTTTCTTACATGCCTTTTCTATTGCTCCCATCAGTCTTTTTCTTCTTTTGAAGTTCCTCAACTCTACCCACACAGATTCTGCATCTTCTGACCCTATGTCACTTCTTGCTACAGATTTAATTTCATTTGTTATCAACAAGGCAATTCCCCCACCCCCGCCTCACACCCTGCCCATCTGCCTGTCATTTTGATAGGATGCAAAACCTGGATATTTAGTTCCCAGTCCTAATCCCCCTTACAGACACATCCGTGATGATTACTGCAACATATCTGCCAATTTCAATCTGCGCTACAAGCCTATTTAGCTATTTTCATATACTGCATACATTTAAGTACAACGTGCTCAGTTCTGCATTGACCATGCCCTTTCTCATAGTTGCACCCTACCTGCTGTGCCTGAAATTAGATGCCTGACCCTTTGTGTGGATGCTGAGGGAGGATCTGATTGAAGTATTCAGAATTTTGAGGGGCATAGACAGAAAAGATCATGAGAATCTTTTCCCCATGGCAGATGTGTCTAAGACCAGTGGGCAAAAGTCTAAGGTGAGGAGTATATGATTTAGAGGAGACCTGAGAAAAATTTTTTCACCCACAGGGTGATCGTAATACAGAATGTGCTTCCTGGCCCGGTGGTAGGTGCTGTCGCAACTTTTAAGATGCATTGTAGCCTATGGACCAAGTGCCGATAAACAGAATTAGTTTGGTGTTTGTTGGTTAGCATGGACATAGTGAGCCAAAGGGCCTTTTTCTATGCTGTATGACTCTACGACATGCTTTCTGTCCTGTTATTGTTCTGGAAACTTTAATATTCCCTTCTCGCAACCCTCAAACAGTTTAAAGTCCCTGTGACTACCCTATTTAACCTTTCTGTCGTATAGAACTTTGAACCTTTTGCTAATAAATAAAGTATAACTTTCATGGTGAAAGTCTTACATCAATCAATCTTGTTATTCGAAATTGACAGTTTTTGAAACCATGCACTCTGAACTAAATTAGTCATATTCATTTACAGGTTCCACTCCCTCAAATTGTGGGTGGCATGGGTGCTCAGTGTTAGCACTGCTGCCTCTTGGCACCAGGGATTTCAGTTCAGTTAAAGCCTTGGGTTAATGTCTTTGTGGTGTTGGCATGTTCTCTCGTGTCTGCATGGGATTCCTCCCACAGTCTAAAAATTTGCAAGCTAAGTGGATTAGACATGGTAAATGCGGGTTACAAGATTAGGGTAGGGAGATGGGATGCTTTTAGGTGGGGTTGGTGCTACTCAATGGGCTGAATGGCCTCTTTCTTCAGTGTAGGGATTGTAAATCCAGGAATCCAAAACCAGTGTTGTAAAAATAAGCTTTTTTTTTGGATTGATCTTTTCTCATTCTAAGCAGGTTGCACTGATGTAGGCAAGTGGAGGAGATATGAAAGAGTCACTAGAAGAAGAATGAAGAGTGAGAAATGAATTTAATATCAGCAGTGACTTGCTTATTAACCTCTGATGCTTTGCATTCATATCAATTGGTTGTCCTGTATTCCCTGTTCACTGGATGAAGGCATTCTGATCTGAATTGACACATTCTAAATTTTTCTCCCTGCCAAATAGCAGGTTCCAAAATCTGGCACAGTTTGAGGTTGCCAGATTTGAGAAAGTATATCTGTACATTAATGTGTTGTTTTTGGTTACTAAACTATACTTTATACTGGATTCTTTTTTATTCATACTTAAAAGCAATGACTGAGACTTGGCTGCAAGGGCATCAGTAAGAAGTTGAAGATAATATGAAAGTTGACACTTATTGATGGTGAAAAAGAAAGCTGTAGACTGTGGGAAGATAATAATAGATTGATCAGGTGGGTAAAGAAGTAGAAAATGAAATTCAATCCACAGTCAGACCATCCATTTGAGGAGGGTA